GAATGTCGACGGACCGTTTTTATTGTTGATAGAAAATATCATTTAAAGATTCAAGTGCAAAAATCCCTTTTAATTGGCAAATTTTTTAATTTGGAATTGCAATACCAGTATAAATAAATGTTTGAAAATATGAATAATAAAGAATTCTCCATATAGAATTTTTCTTATTTTCAAAAAAAATAAATTTTTTTAAAAAATCGTAAAGATGGTATTCATAATTACATATAGTTGTAAAATAACGTTAATAATATCGATAATAATTAGTATTATAATATTCTATAGACCGAATATAGTTGTAGACGCTTTACCGACACAAAATAAAGATAATAAAAACATAAAAATAAGGGATGTATCAAACGATATATTCAAAGAGTATTATATAGAGGACGATTATATAAATTTTCAAGTTATTGGTGATTGGGGTTATCAAGGAAAAACTGATAATAACACTTTTTACGGTGAAGATCAATTGAAAGTTGCTCGAAATTTAGAAAAATATGCTAATTTACATGATACTAAATTCATTATAAATGTTGGCGGTTAGTTAAAAAAAATTTTTTGTTGTTGCAATTGAAATTATTGATATAATAACAATTTTTCAAAAAAATTATTTTTCGCAATATTTAGATAGTTTTTATAAAAGTAATAAAGACGATTATCAAGGTGTCGAGAGCGTTGAAGATGAAAAATGGAATACTACTTGGTTGAATATTTATAAAGATAAATTAAGCGAGATACCTTGGTATAGCGTCGCCGGAAATCATGATTGGTAAGTTAATTTTGACTTATTTTTCCAGAAATTTCGCGAATATTAACGCCAACATTAACATATTAATATTATTGATTCATAGGTACAATGATATAAATGCTCAGATAGAGTATAGCTTAACAAAAAACTCAAGATTCTTTCTACCCTCACTATTCTATGCTCGATTGACCACCTTCGGACAAAAGAAGACAGAAATAGCATGGATTCACATCGACACCAATTTATTTTTCTACGAATATAAAAATATCAACGAAAATGTTCAATTTGCGAAAAATTTCCAATATTTTGGTTGGGATGTTAACAAGGAAAATAAAATTGAGGAAAAGTTGAGATGGATTGAAGAGAAATTGATTGAATTTCAAGATGTTAAATGGATTTTTATAGCTGGTAATTATTATATGTAAAAGATATCCGCAACTGCAATTTTGTCAGCAGGTTGGGATATTTAGAAATCAATTTGGCGATTGCGGATATTCTTTGAATACTAAAAAAAATTTTTTTTTATAGGACATCATCCGTTAATTGGAGATTGCTCAGAAACTTATTACATGCCAGAATTGTTATCTTTGTTACAAAAATATCGTGTCACAGCTTATTTATCAGGTCACGCACATGTATTAGAATTAAAATTACCAGATTCAAATAGCTCAAATAAATTGGCTCGATTTATTTCCGGGGCAGCTAGTAGAACAAGTTCAGGATGTCCGGGCGAAAAGGATTGGGGCATGCCAGAAGGTACATTTGGCTTCTTACACTTCACCATAAAAGATGATGATGATTATTTAAATTTTCAATTTGTTGACTCGACAACTGTTAACGATAAAGTTGTTTATGAGAACAAATTAAAATCAATCCCTATATGGTACCCTAAATAAGCATCTAATAAATTATTAAAATTATGCAGTAATAGACAGATAAAAATCTTGTAACCTTTTTTTCATTTTAACTTCTCTAAACGGTTTTGGGTGAGAACTTGCTCCAAGCCCAAACCTAAACTAGTTTCGGGTGGCTTCAGTTTTCTAAATTAAGAGTTTCGGGCTACAGCATTATTGCTTTCTTTGGTTCTTTTCGCAATAACCTGAAACATTGTTTTTTCCAATAAACAGCAAAAGATAAAATCATTTATGGATAGATCGGTGTTACGCGTATTGCGCCCTTCAAGCTTTTAGTCTTCCAAATTTGTTAATGATTTACATTCAATAGCTGGAAGTTTCCAAAATAAAAGATTTGGCAAAGAAAACCCGAGCAAAGAAACTATTGTTCTTAATTAGCTTAGTCTCCTTTTTGGAAGGAAGAAATTTAGAATTATTTTTGTCCGATCACGTAATTTTGTTTTAATGATTAGAATCTTTATCTATGCTAATAAAAACACCTTACAGTTAGTTGGCACTCGATATAGTGGTCTACTGTACGATATAACTGGGTTGGGTTTCCTATTCTTTATATAAATTCTGCTCGATATAGTGATTTTTTAATATAAACTCTCGATTCGAGAGTTTATATTAAAAAATCACTATATCGAGCAGAATTTATATAAAGTAGAGGTTGGCACCGCGCAAAAATTCTTTAACCGATTAATTAACCGTTAAAATTAAGAGTTAACCGGTTAACCGATTAATTTAGTCACGTGGAATTTTTTAACTGGTAAATTCGATCGTTCATTTACTTACAAAATAATCACGCGCCTGTTGAATTTTATTATTATACACTTAATAGATGCTAAATGATTACTGTCAAACCTCCCCACAGCGGATTCATGGTTCCAGCCAAAAAAATTCGTTATTATTATTATTATGACAAGAAGTTCGCAGCGGCAAAATTGGTGATGATCGGGCAAAATTTTTTTAATAATACAAAGCTCTCTCTCTATACCGAACCCTCTGTCCATTATATGCATTTTTCTGCTTTTGTTCATTATAGGGAGAAATTAATTATAAAAAATTGAATCGGAGATGGGTGAAAAAAGGGAAATTCAATACTGACATTTTAAACATTTTCCTTCCACACCTCCCTCTAAAGAATGAATAATGCAGGTGTATTTTATTCCAAGAATTCCTCTCAAAATGTATGAAGTAATAGTAATTAATCAAATTTTATTTTTTTTGTCAGATTTGTTGCATGATCAATTATACAGATTGATAATCTATGTTACACAAGCAAAATTTTCTGTTACACTGCACTATTGACAACAAAATGCACTGTGATGTAATTATGGTCAATAATTAAATAAATTTTTGGAAGTCTTCTTTTAGCATCAAATTCTTTACTTGATACAACTAACAGAAATGTCTTCCTCTGGTATCTTGCGGTGCTTTCAGTGGGGTCGCTCTATTACATGTCAAGTTTTGTTCCTTCAGCCACAAAATCCTATGTTGAGAAACTTAATTTGTAATCCATCAATGAAGGAAAGGATCTACATAGTAAAATTCCGGGATAAGCATCATAATAAAATCAATTAGTGTCCATAATCTGGAACCACTGCAGAAATAGCATAATATTTTACATGTAGACTTGTACTTTAAAATTACTAAATAAAACTCTGAGTATCTGGCTATCTTTTTAATTTAAATTTATAAAAATAGCTCCAAAATTTCTAAAGTTACATAACCCAGAAAAAAATCAAAACAAATATTATTGGCTAAAACATGCAGATCTTTCATTGAAAAATGGTTTATATGAAGAAAAACTTGGCAAGAGCTTTATTAAAAGGCCATGCAACTTCCAAAACTATATATTACGTGTACTTTTAACTGCTTTACAAGCCTACCAAAAAATAGTCAATAGTTTCAAATTATAATCACAAAGTTACCAAAAAATGGATGTCCAGATTTAACATTCAAATCTAACCATGCCTCTAAAGTTGGTGTCTGCAACTGATTTGAAATTCTGCAACCAGTTGTGACCTAGGTTGAAACATCCCAAATTGCAATTTCTTAGATCAGACACCAACTTTACACACCTCAATAATTATTGGTTTAAATATAGCTGTTTTGCCACTTTTTGACCCATGATAGTTTATTGACCTATTAAAATTAATATCATAAATTTTCCTCTATTATTATTATAATATGTAACAATTACTATTAGTTTTTTCTAGATATAAATAACAGTAAAAATAAATAAAGTCAATAGCTACCATTGTGGTTATTAAATATATTTAATAATATTATTATTCTGGAACACATTCTAATTATTTTATATATTTAAATATATGAATTTTATACCCACAATCCAGGACCGCTCCTTAAATAACAGAAAACTGACAAATTTAATAGCCCATATATTTGTAAGTAAACATAGTTTTTTACTTTTGATTTACATAGGTTGATATAAAATTTTTTTTATGTAACATAATAAATGCATGACTTTCTATGGGGGTGAAAAATCGATTACTATTATTATTACTATGAAATTTAAAAAATTTGCCCGGATTGGCATTAATTAAATCCTTTCCTTAACTGGTGGATCACGAATTAAGTAAAATCTATTATCTTAATCCATGTAAAGTTCATTTATTTGGTATTCAGAATGATTATGTTCTTAATGAAGATGAAATTATAGGTAAAAGTCCTAATGGTATGCTTAGCATGATTTTTGATGGAATTAAGAAATTGAACAAAGGTGGAAAGCATTTAAAGATTACTTGTAATAATGCTGGAGGACAAAATAAAAATAATGTAACAATCTGGTTCTATTTATATTTGGTAATCTATGTTTATTATGAAAGTATTGAATTGAACTTCATGATTCCAGGACATACCAAATTCAAAAAACTCTATAGAAAAACAAGTGTAGATTGTCTGGACCATGTGGTTGATGCAGTGAAAAGATCTAGTCCAGCTGGATTGAATAAAGCTCAATGTCATGAAGGTGGAAAAGGTTTTCAATACTTAGATATTAAAGCTTTTATTTTAAGAAATTACCAAGTATACAGAAATATCAACATTTTCTTTTTGAAACATCTAACCTTGGTACAGTGAAAGTATTGAAAAACTGAACAATCACATCAATTGAAAAAGATTTAGAAAGTAAAACTGGAGAAGCAGAAAAATAGATAGAGCTTTCAGATTTCTTGGAAACTAGGGTCAAAGAAGAAGAAAAAGTTGAATGTCACCTTGAAGCCTTAGAAGTAGCCCAAGAATGAAGTAAAAGACAATTAGCTGAAAACCTAAAGAAGTTAGAGAAAGACAAGAATCAGGAAATACAAGGTGTTTTTCTGACCTTACAAGCAAGGGAATGAATTGCAAACAATTGAGCAAGAAATGAACCAACAAGCCCAAGAAATTCAGCAGTTAAAATAAGAATTATATTTAATTAATAAGCCTTTGCCATCATTACCAAGGAAAAAGAATAAACTATTACAGTTTAGAAAAAAGATAAGTGAGAAAGAAAATTCACTTAAAAAAGAAACAAGAGCAAATAATTGAAGTAAAACCTAAGCAAGTCAAACCAACTCATACTAATTTTTTTTTATCAAATCTTTTTTTAATATCTTTAATTCATGATCTGTGAAACATCTGCAAAATTTTCATAACAGAATTTGGCGCAAAATTTTGCAGATCACTAATTAAAATTTTCTGGACTCCAACTTTCACCCCCAATGTAACCACCCTTTATGTTTATATAAACTAAAATTGTACTTTTAACACATGATATGAATCTCGAAGTTTAAATATACAAATTTTCAAAGGGACTTTCTTATAAAATATTTTATGTTTATATGTAGGAATCGCTGGATTCCTGCCTAAAATTACTATATAAAATTTAAAGGTTTGAGTAAGCAACTAAAAATATTTATGATGTAAAAATGGTTGTAGAATTAATTTTATCCAAGGAAAATATAAATATGTTATTTCTATTTAGTTTTTAATAGTTACTCTTTTTAAAAATTATCGTGGTCATGTAATTTTCTTGATTCACGTTGGTCACGTGAGGTAATGTCAGATTCTGAAAATATAATGTTTATTATCACCACAAAAACATATTAATATTAATGATCGGCAAATTTTTGCAGTTGTTTCACGGATTACGAATTAATATTAATATTAATATTGATTCTCGATTAAGAATTTTTGTTATAGTTAAAACAATTGATGGATTTGATTGGTTTATTTGAAGCGTCATTTAAAGAAAAAAATCCCACACGACTTGCAAGTAATAAAAAAATGTCATTTCTGCCACCTGAAGTTTTAAATGAAATATTTAACTACATTAAAAATGATTACAAAACATTATATTCTTGCATTCTAATTAATAAACAATGGCACAATGTCAGTATTCCAACTTTATGGAGAAACCCATTCTACTCTGTTGACAGCATTAAAATATTAATAAATTGTTTATTGGTAGAAGATAAGGATTTTTTAACAAAAAAAAAAATTCAACTACAATTTAAATTACTGGAGAAACCACCATTGCACAATTATGCCAGGTTTTCGACTGAATTAAGTTTAAGGCATTTTGTTGAAATTTTAGAAAATTTAATAGCTTCCCCAATAAATGATAAATATGTTTATTTAAAAAAAAAATTAGTAAGCTTTGTTTTAGACTATTCAACGATCAAGGCACTTAGAAATGCTAATCTAGATTATAGATTTTTGACAAGTCATCATAGGTTTGATATCTGTTTTCAGAATCTATATGAATTAAATTGTGTTTCATTTGATTGTCCTCAACTCATTGATAAATTAGCAAGCACTTGCAAAAATATTCAAGTTTTGAAAATAGAATGCAATAGACATAATATTGAAATTTTTGATTATAGTCTCACGCAACTAATCAAAGCACAAAATCAAATCAGACAATTGATCATTATAAATTCATGCAGTAATGATTTCATCTTATCAAAAGATCTCAGAAAAGCAATCTTAACTCATTCAGAATCGATAATTTCATATTCCAGTTACGGAAAAAATAATCTAGATTCTCTATTCACAGCATTTCAAAATTTAAAGCTTTTGTCATTATTAGACAGTGTAAATATACCAGCCGAGAATATAATGGAAGATTTAAAATCGATTTGGTTTCCAGATCTTGAAGTCGTAAATTTATCATTTCTTGGTCATCGATTTCTATTAGATTTGTCAAATTTCATTGAACTCAATGGAAAAAATCTTAGAAAATTGTCGATTTGTGGTGAACCAATAGATAAATGCCACTTGGGGACACTTATTCAATCAATTGGACATTATTGTCAAAATCTAGAATCTTTTTCAATATTTTACAGGGATAATTTAGATCAACAATTAATCCAAGTATTTAATAATTGTTTTAAATTAAAATGCATTAAATTCACTACATTTAGTCACCATTATGAAAGAATAGACGGTGATAAAATTTTAAATGTATTAAATAAAACATTACCAAAAAATTTAAATTCATTAGTTTTTAAACATTCAGTCACCATCTTTGACCATAATTCATTAGAAATTTTAATGACCAATTGGAAAGGACCTAGACCTTTTAAAATAATATTACTCATAAATAATAAAATTCCTTTGAGGGGATGCTTATCAGAAAAAATATCAAAATCTGGGAAGTTTAGAATCATAAGTTTATGAGCTTATGTGTGGACTCTTGATTAAACAAACCTTTTGTGTAGAAAATCTATATAAAAAATTCCTCTTGGTAATTTATTACGTCATTTCTAGATCTATAACGGGTCTATTTCGGTTTCTTCATCTTTGTTATTTTCTATACGTTTATTTATTATTTTATTTATTTTTAATTACTCTAATTATTCTCCTGAATAGTTTAGGAATATCTAAATTCTCAGTTGATTGGAAAATCTTTTTATCTGAATCATGATACAATAAATAACAAGATCCTAGCTCAGGTTTAAAATTTCCCCATTCCAAATAATTAAATTATTGTAAAAAAAATTTTCAAATTTATTATCAAGTTATTTATCATTAAATAAAGACAAAATATTTAACAAAAAAATCATTAATAATTTCTTCTGGACAATTATACTCTTCTTTGTGGTGGCGATGCATCCTTGGCGATCGGTACAGGTTTCACAAACAGACAATTATATAATTTGCAATCAATAGAGTAACAGACTATGATCAAGATGCGTTGATATATTTTGATTCTGATACCAATCACGAGAAAGACGTCCGGAGCATGCACTGTCCTTGCAGTTCCACAACTGACATACTTGCAGGCTCCATACCGACACATGTTAATGATGGCTTTAGGTGCGCAATTCCAGATATCGCCAGTAGGATTTGAACGAGCTGCATGCTCTACAATAAACATTAGTGAAACAGAGGCGATGAAAAATTAATTGAAGCATGTAAAATCAACAATCTCAATTATACATCAAGTCCGGCACCACAAAAGCGACCGCAAATGGTATTTCCTCCATAATTTACTTTTGATAAAATTTTCTCGCTTAAAAAATGAAGGACCAAAGGACTAGATCTTTTTCATTTTTTTAATGCTGCAAAACAGGATATTCGAGGAAATCATATTTTGCGACTAGGAACAAAGATAAAAGTTTTAGTGGACAAACAAACAAACGCCAATATTTTCAAAAAGCCAAAACAGGTGATGCTTGATATTCTATTTTAATTATCTTTTCCTCAAATCAGTTGGCTTTATCAATTCATCAATTGTATATTTCTCTTGACTTGTTTCTAAAAAGATCTAATGATTTCTATTGTAAAAAAAAGTTGATATTATTTTTAGAATTTTTACCAAGAATAAAAGCAAAATCATCGGCATAGAAGAAAAAGTCAATATGTAATTCTGTGACTTAGTACTAGATAATGTTGTTTTGATGAAATATTACATAAAACTCGCTGTCATTAAGTCAAAAATGACGTAAATAAAAAATTGCAAGGCTAATAAAATATAAAAGCTCACAAAAAAATTTATAAATATATATTCCAAGGTCTTTTTTTTTTATATTTTATTGTATCCCAATCTCTCCTTTGTTTCATCAGTTGTTCCCAAAGAGCCAAGTTTTTCTTTTGCTGAATACAAATTCAGCTCCCACACACTCTCTCCTTATAACGTGATACATAATAATAATCGGGTAGATAAAATCATCGACTAGGGATTCGGTACTTTATGTTCCAGGGTCAACTAATCTTAGTTTACGCAAAGCTTTTCATAAATTATTATCAAATTACTGTGTAAATAGTCATGAAAGTTTTTATAATAATCAATATTAAGTTATTTTGCAATAATAAAATCATCTTTATCTTTGTCCTTATTGCAGTGATCAAGAATAACTTCTGGTCTTCGCTTGAAAAAGCATAACTTCGGGTCCTCTCAGAGGAAAATAATAGATGATTCACATTCTAATAAAACTCTGTGATAGAATCATTATTTTTATTAAATATAATTAATCGTTAATAAACTTTTAAAAATAAAAATAAAAACATTTTCTTTATTTCTTTGTTTGATAAAAGCAACAAGTGTAGTTAGTGCCTTGATAAAAGGCAACAATTGTGGAACTTTGGTAAAAAGCCACGTTTATTTGCTTTAGTGCACAGGAAAGCAAGGTTAGGGCTAACGTTGGTGATTAGTGAGTGTTAACGATGATTAGTAACGTAATTTGCTTTAAGTGAGTAAGCAAAGGTTAGGACTAACGTTGGTTAACTAGTGGGTGTCAATGAAGTATTGCCAAAAGGTTAATCGGGAAATATTGGTATTATTGTTGTAATGTTAAACGTAAGGCTGTTAAACAAGCCTCTTGAGTTGTTTTGCAAGTAAACCAAAGCGAGTTTGCAACCGGCCAATGTAATAAATCGATCACAAGTAAATAAAAGGAACTTTATAGCTTTGTAAAAGGCATCTTTATCTATTTACAGCTATCTGATACCATTAAGTGTGCCCACAGTCTCGTCTAGGTGCAAGAAAGAGAGAACCAAAGTAAATTCATAAACTAATTAATTGGCAAGCACCAAATTATTTGCAATTAACTGACAAGGGTAGCACAAAAGTTTAAAGCCATAATTGTTAATTAACCAAAATGATGCCTCACAATATCATTTAACGAGAATCAGAAAACTGTAGAAAGTTTATTATAGGAAATATTATTATAAAAAACAAAATAAGGATAAATAAAAAGATAAATAATAAATTTATTATAATGGGGATTAAATTAGTCATTCATCGCTTTACTAGAGTTTAATTAATTAATATTGTTAGTAATAATTAATAGATAGTAATTTCAATTGATTAATAATGAAAATTTTATTCACCTTTGTTAACATTTCAGAGAAAAGATTTAAAATCAAGATTATTTAACGAACTATCATTACTTGTATAACTTTTCAAACTTTTAGATTTAGCAATCTCATCATCTAAGATTCTACTAGTATGATAGACATCCGGGTGTGATTTGTGTGCTTGTTGCAAAGCACTACTACCACTGCTAGTAGCATTATTACTATTATCATCATTAACAATTTCATTATGTTTATTTACAGCAAAACCATAAAGCTCTTTACTAGTTGGTCTTTTTGATGAATCCACATCCCAACACCTCTGCATCATTTGCACATAATCGTCAGGCATTCCAGGTAATATTGGTGGTCGTAAACCTTCTGCACATATATCAAAAATCAAACGATGGTTGTGAGCTCTATCATCAAATGGTGGATGGCCTGCAAATATTTCCCATATTAACATCCCAACACTATAGATATCTGTTTCTTTTGTGTACTTTATATTAGTTTTGCCTCCAAGTAGCTCGGGTGCAACATATGATACAATTCCATAGACTTTATTTGATGACTTTTCATCAGCTGGTCCACATAATCCTAAATCTTTAATATAACAATCACCTCCTGACATAAGTATATTACCACTATGTAAATCACAATGGATTAAATCTTTTTCATGTATGTCATTTAATGCACAACATAAATAATCAAAGATTCTAATTCTGTCTTTTAATGTTAAATTTAAAATGATTTTTTTGTAAATAATCCCTTAAATTTCCTTCTGAATGATAATTTAAAACAATTGCATAATTCCCATTATCTGGGAGTTTAGTTATACCATGGCACCCAATAATCAGTGGTGATTTAATTTTAGAATAATTCATTGCCTATTGAATATAAAATCAATTAGTATTATATAATATAGTATTGTTTATTTTGTTTTAAATGACAACTAAGGCTCCGCATGAGCCAGCTCGTAAGCCAAATAACTTAGTAGGCTCGCAAGCCAGCTTGTGAGGAGCTTTAATGACAACTACCAACCTCATCAAGAAAGCCTTTTCCTGACTTACTTGAATCATTTAAACTTTTTAATACTACATTCAGCCTTCTAAAATAACTAAATTTCTTTTTCTTTTCATTGTAATCAACAATAGATCCTCTTGTCCATGTAGCAGTAAAAATTGAACTAAATTCACCTTCATTTAACTTTGTTACTTTTTCAAATTGCTCAAAAGGTATCCATTCTAAAATATACCCTGGCAGGGATGATTTCATTTGACATTGTTGAATAAAATTATCAATTATGTTATTTCCAGATGTCTGAGTGGTGAAAAGACTCTGTAATTGTAATCTAATACAACCTTCACAGAATCTATCAGTGTATCTTATTAATTTACACTTTTTACATTTTTTTGGTTTTCCTTTTTTATTTCTTGCATTTATTAATTCAAACTCATAAATAAACCTTTCCTTACAATACTCTTTTCATTTTCAGAAAGCTCCTTGTTTTTCTTGACTAATGAAAAAAAATAATCTTTTATACTTTCTGTGTCAGCATTAGGATTAGCATCAGCATTATTGCGCATTTCACTATTAATTTTATATACAAATTTCTTTCTTTCCGATGATAACGATGATAATAGGTTATAATATGACATGACATAAAAATATAAAATGAAATTTGAGAATAATGATAACGGTTACATTATTTCCTTTCTTTGAATGCCGTGTAACAAATAATTCTTTCGGTCTTGTTGATTGTCTTCAAGTCTTTCTCTAACAGGATTAATTAATAAAGATGTGAATTGAGTGGACAAAAGTTGCACTATTTAAAGAACAACTTTATCATCACCAAACTCTAATTATCGATTTGTCGTGATTCAACAATAAAAGAATTTCAGCATTCTTTGAAGATTTAAAACTTACAAAACCTGTCTTGTGTGCTATGTAAAGGTCGTTCTAAGTACACCTATGTTGCTTCAAATTCAGACGTTAAAGACAGCTCAGAACATCATTAATATTATTGCGTATTACTATTACGCGTAGTTAACTTCAGAGTTAAAAATTCGAAAAAAACACAACTCATATGTATGTAAAGGCAATTTTAATTTTATGAAATGTAATAATAAAAGAATAGTTTTAATTTGTAAAAAAAGAAGAGGCATTTTTTATATGGGGGAAAAAACAAGCAGTTAATTAAGTAAAATTCCTAATTCAAATTATAACATTTGTAAACTTCCCATGATAATTATTCTTCTTGCATCATTGCAATATACATACAATGATATAATTCTTTCTTTATTCGCCCCAGGACACACATTTTACCATTATCATTATTGCTGCTTGTATCAAGCGTTTCTACTTACGTCAAGTGGTTTTACCTACGTCAAATCATCAAAATGGCCCTGGTGAGAAACTACCTTTAGTCAATACTTTAGTTACGTCAATGACTAAAGCCAAAAGTTTCATCATTCATCATTAGTCCTAGACTCTTTTCAATTTCCTAAACAGTTTCAGGAGAGAACCTACTCTAAACTAAGAATTTCGGGTTACATACTTGTATAAACCAGTTCAGATGATTTAATTAATACAGGGTCGTTTTGTAAAACTTCGTATTTCAATGTATTCTTCTTCATCACAGAGAAGGATTCCATTGAGCATTAAATTAACTGGCATAAGTATAATAAATACAATGTTAATGTAATAATAATAATTCATTTTATGACTTTAGTAAGTGAATATATAGATTAACGACTGCGAAGCCAGATTTCAGTCTCCAATATTTCGTGCGCTTTCATCAAATCACGTTCATTCATTCCAAGTAATGTTTCGTCTGTTTCTTAAAGTGCATCTATTGTATCATTATAATTAACAAACTCATCTTCTGTTGCTATTGTCGTTGTCGTTGATGTTACTGCTTTTCTATGTCTAGAAAATTATGTAAATTGTTTAATCAAAATAATGTTTTTTAGAAATCCTACTTATTAAGGACATTTAGTGCTCTCGTTCAAATAATATCATTATTATTTTTTAAATAAAACATATTAATAATAAATATCATCAGAGTTTGATTTTTTGTCATCAATAGTACTCGATTTTCTTCTTCTAACAGGCTTATTATTATCGTCACCGTTGTTAGTTATCATGCTAATATCATCATTATTATTATTAATGAAATACCATTAATTATTATTCTAAAACGAATATTTTTACTGATGAATTTCTCTATCATCAAGATAATTATTTTTACCACGATATCCACTATCATGACTATGTTTTCGAGATGGTATTCCTTTGAGAAAATGACATTTCGCAACAATTAACACTTCCTGTAAAAGTGATTGCTCTCTTCTATATAGATAATTTTATAGTTTTTGCAAAAAAAAATTTGTTGAGATAGATTATAGTTACCTTGAGAAATAATTTATTTGATTTATATTTTTAATGGTTTATTTTTGAAATTGGCACGGATCTGCCTTGTTAGCAAAAGGCATTTACACTACTCGGAAGAAGACTCTTTTTATATGGTGAACTTAAACAAAACTTTTTCTCATACACAAGAAGGCAGAGAGTAGCAAACTTTGGACATCAGGAAATTTTTTTGGACATAATATTATGAGAGGTTTGTAAGTTTTACGCAATCATTACAATTTGTAATTTTGTGACGGGTCCATAATTATTTAAGTTGTTTAATATTGGTTTAAATTCGCAATTTGTTGAATGTTTTTTACATATATTAATATAGTCAATATATTCTTCTATACAATCAACTAATTGAGATGAGATAAATAAGTGTTGATCTAAATCATGAAATGCAATATAGTATTACGTAGATTTTCATAATTTCAAAAACTTTCTTACCAATTAATATATATCTTTGTAAGTCAATAAATACTTGTCTGATTTGAATGATCTTTGATTCAATAGAAAGCCCAAATTTCATGATTATTAAGTAATTGTTACTCTTTCTTTCTCAATCATTCATCAAATATCTCAAGTAATTAATGCATTACTAATTCCGGGTGGCTCTCTCAAGTGGACAATAATCACCATCTTTAAAAATAATGATGACAAAAAAAAACAAAATTTCAAAAATTTGATTTTTGATTTTTTGATCCTTTGATATGGATAATCAATCTATATATTTTTTTTTTATCTCAGTAGTATCCAATGAATTGAAATGAATTAATACTTATTTGATTTCTAAATCATGTAAAGCGTCATATTGATATACCTATATATAATTTCCGCGGAGAGCCTTGCCCTCTGCAAAAATATTTCCCATATATTAAATTAATGAATGATGCTTAAATTTATTAATTATCATCATCTCTCGTCTTTCTTTTTTTTCTGATATAATTGGTGTATTATTATTGCATGCTTATATTATCTAATTATCATTCACGCAAAAATAAAATGTAAAGGAAAAGTTTTAAAGAATTTGTTTATAATAAATCATGTAAATATATATATTTATTTTTTATTTTAAATAAAGGATTCTGCTATAAAAAAACCATTTAAATGAACAATACCAATGAAGGTCTGCAAAGATTTATATAATTATTATTTGGTCCATTAATTTAACCTCCTTACAAAGGCAAAATACATTCAAATGTTGTACAGTACGAGAAATATTCGCCTTAAAAAATTTAACGCGTTTTGTTTTGTAAAATTTTTTGACAAAAAAAAAATTAATTTTTATTATTATGGAAAAGACAATATCGAATGATTTAGAAAAAAACTTTTATGTAATCAATTCATTTGGTTTACCAAGTTGGGAATTCACCAAAAGTGGGCAAATTATTAAGTAAATATTTGGGTAGTTTTTTTTTAAGCATTTTTTTTTTTAAAAATTAATTTTAAAAAAATTTGTATATACTCATTCATATTGTAGAGATAACCATAAAAAGAGTTTACTAAATAAAGAAACTGGTAAATTGCAACGTAATAGACGTGAATTAATATATAAAAGATTCAAAAATAATGACATGGTAATGTAATTAATATGTAAATGCGTTTATACTATATAAAAATATCTATACAAATAAGTATTTATATATATATATTTAGATAAAATCAATATCTAGTATGCTTGGCAGACATGGTAAAGAATTTAAAATATTTGGAAGACTAGGTTTATCAAATTTTGGAGAATATGTTCTTGAAGATGTAACTGAATCTAGCACTGTGGCATTAGAAATATCAGAAATCGTATTTATAAATCATTATATATATTGAAATAATAATATTATTATAATTATTATTGTTATCACAATTTTAATTTTAATTTTTTAAAAAATGAAAGAACATTGATGGATTCTTTCCTCTAAACAGTTTTGTAATTGTCAAAGGGAAAAGTATAAATTCAAAAACTTTTAAAGTGTCCGCAATTGAAAATCCACCTGTTGAAACAATACATGATATAAGGTTAGAGTCTGTTTTTCTGATATCACTTAAGTAGATTTTTTAATTCATTTTTATATTTTATATAAAATAGAAAAAAATGGGGAAACTTTGATTTTTTGGGTCTTAAAAATTTGTCTAGAAATGAGGTAACTGATTTACACGCATGTATATTTAATTGTTTAGTTTAATATAGTAGTAAATTTTCTTGAACTCTTTAAATTTAGGCAAATTTAAATCTAGATGAGAATTCACATTTTGTCATAATATCGGATTTATGGTTGGATAAAGAAAAGGTGAATTTAAAAATTTTCTAACAATTTACAATTGTAATTTTTTTATTAATTTTGAGAAACTAAGATTAGGAAAATATACTTTTAAGACATTCGTTAATCTTCGTAGAATATTTGAAAGTTATAATAAAGAACAAGATGATGGGAATGGAAAGAATAGCAAGATTCCGTTGGCATTTATATTTATTGGGGATTTTTTTTCAGAACCATTAAATTATAAGGATCAATACAAAAAACAAGTAGAATGTAAATTAAAATTTTATTTATACAATCAAAAAAAATATATAAAAATGTTATTATTAATTAATATATTATATTTCATAATAGATGGATTCAGAGATTTGACAAGACTCATCTTGAAATATCCAATGATAAAACAATGTGGTTTCATCTTTGTTCCAGGACCAAACGATAACTTTGGTAATAAGCCACTTCCATATTTTCCAATCTTTGAAGAATTTACTAAATCTGTGTCTGAGAAACTTCCCAATGCAATTTTTACAACTAATCCTTGCAGGTATTTCAAATACACACACACATATATATACACAATAGATGATTATATAGAGTGATATTAATATTATTAATATAAATAATTTAATTAATTTAGAATTAGAATTCTAAATCAAGATATGGTGATTTTTAGATGTGATCTAATAGAGAAAATTAAAAGTACTTCAATACAAAATGTAAGCTATAATAAACATGTTATATTTGATGTATTTGACACATTAGATTATTTCTAGTCATTTATGTTGATATTGATATTATAACGTTTTAGTTATCCAATAACAATAATGATAATAATAACGATATTGATGTTGAGATGACAAATGTTGTTGAAGAAGGGGGTGATGACGGTGAGGATGATGATGAAGATGACCCTGGGGATGTTGGTGCTGGTGTTAATCAAGTTAGTTTAAATATTTATTTTCAGGGTTTAATCCTTACAAAATATTAAAATAAAAATATTATCAATACAATATTTATAACGATTACTTTATTATTATTGTAATAATTAGTTAAAATCGAAATCACAAAACAATAATTCAACATTATCAACAAATAATAATACTAATAATATTGATGATATAGTTCAAGAAGATGCGAAAAAGATAATTCGAATGTTGTTATGTCAATCACACTTATGTCCGGTTCCGGATTATAAACAACAAATTCATGTGGATTTTGATCATGCTTTATGGTTATATCCAGTTCCAGATGTTGTAAGTAATTTCATTAATTGATGAATTAGTCAATATGATAATGATGATACGATAATAATAATATATATATTTTTCTGAATGTACATTCTAAACATTTAGCTTATAACAGCTGATCGATATTATAATTACATGTTTGATATAAATTTTGAATCTCGACATGAAAAATTAAAACGAAATCAAAAAAACACTACAATGAAATGTAGCTGTTTAAATCCAGGAACATTCAACGAAAATAATTTTAAATATATGGTATATTGGCCTGTTTTGAGAAAAACAGAAATGAGATGATTTATTATTATCATGAAAACAAAAAAAAAATAAATTGTCTACATTAAAAAATGAACGAATTGGAAGAATCAACACCTTTGAAAATTTTATTTTATTTTCCATCATCTGTAGCAATATATTTTGTTTGGTTGCGTAATAATTCTAAAATAAATAAATGCAAAGTTGTGTATACCTCTAAATTCCGTCAACAGGTTTAAAGGCACGTGATCACAAAAATTTTGTTGCGTTTTTTTGGTTGGAATTTTTTTCTCAAATTGATATAGTGGTGCAAAAGCTTAGTGATCAAGATCACTTGCATTATAGATCCAAGTATTAGCAACACATTATGGATCAAAATATAGTGGAACAAATATAACTGGATGGCCCTGTCTTATGTATTTTAAAGAAAATGATTTTACATGATGATCATAGCAACAAATTTCTACTTACCACCACCAAATCTAATAAATAGTTTTAATTGAATTAATTATTGGTACGTACATATATTTAAAAAGGGAAAAAATTAGAATATCATTAATGATGATCTTATATATTCCTTTTTTAAAATGTCTAATTGGAAATCCAAAATTTATTTTCGATCATACTATAACAGATAAACAAATAAATTTAGAGTTATAAGGCTTCAAAGTTAGACCATCCATATGTAAATTGTAAAATTTTCGGAATGATCTTCCCTTGTGATTTCCTAAAAGGCTGATGATCGGTTTAAAATTTTTCGTGATATGGAATAAAAGAGTCTCTTAATTTAGGAAAATTATCTAAAATTCTAAATTTCGGACTGACATTTATAGATGACCCTCTGTAAATGCACGCTCTCAAGGAGGATGCATTTATTATTTATGGAGAGGTCTGACTGACTATATGGGGCATGCTGCAACAAAACCAGACAAAGTGAACATTGGTATTACTAAAAATTTCAGGGATCAAAATTTAGTTATTATCATCACAATTAGTTTATAATGCCCCATTTGTTAAGTGATATATAGAATTGCCCCTATATAAAAATAGTTAATATGAAGTTAATTTACATTAGGTCTACCATGGAACCCAAGAATTACAGCACCATTAGAAGTATTTTAAAAAAGGAACAAGGTGAA